GGGGGCTTAATTGAAGGTGAATATTGCAGCTAAATCTGGTTTTGTTATTTTATCCTGTACTGGGTGTTTTCATGTTTATCTTGCTATCTTTTCCTCAAGCTTTGCTTTAAGTTACATTTATTTTCTGTTTTTGTTTTTATCTTTAGGTTCTTCGGGCGCTCAAGTGGTCCCTACAGCCCACCGTGAAGGACGTCTCCCTTACATGGACCCTTCCTTCTGGTGTGGAGGCCATCGTCCTGTCCAAAGTCCCCACTACCATCTTCCAGGGACAAAGGTCCATTGTCTACGCTCAGCTAAAGGGAAAGGTCTGTGAGCCCGGGGAAGATCGTGTTTTGTGTATTACTTCAGAATGAAAGCTGAGAAAATTATTTCTAAATGGAGATTGGAAATTTGGGTAGGACGAGGTCTGGCAGGTACTGCGCTGGGGGACATGTATGGGGGGATCCGGGTACTGCCCTGGGGGACATGTATGGGGGATCCGGGCACTGCCCTGGGGGACATGTATGGGGTATCCGGGTACTGCCCTGGGGGACATGTATGGGGATCCGGGTACTGCCCTAGGGGACATGTATGGGGATCAGTGTACTGCGCTGGGGGACATGTATGGGGGATCCGGGTAATGCCCTAGGGGACATGTATGGGTATCCGTGTACTGCGCTGGGGGACATGTATGGTGATCAGTGTACTGCGCTGGGGGACATGTATGGGGATCAGTGTACTGCGCTGGGGGACATGTATGGGGGATCCGGGTAATGCCCTAGGGGACATGTATGGGTATCCGTGTACTGCGCTGGGGGACATGTATGGGGGATCCGGGTACTTCCCTGGGGGATATGTATGGGGATCCGTGTACTGCCCTAGGGGACATGTATGGGGATCCGTGTACTGCGCTAGGGGACATGTATGGGGGATCCGGGCACTGCCCTGGGGGGCAGGAATCAATGAAAAACAACTTTTAAAAAATACCGTTTTTAAAGGAGCAGTGCTTTTACCATCACTTAAAGGGTAACAATAAAAATTTAAAATTCCTTTAAATGTCATGCCTGGGGGGTCCCCTTATCCTGCCTGTGAAGTGGGGGATCTGTACGTTGTATAGATCCTGCTGCAGCAAAACTGTGCAGTTCCCCCTCTTAAACAATACCAGACACTTTAGGTCTGTTAGGAGGGACCCCATTAGAAAAAAAAAGCATGTGGGGTTCCCCCAAAAGTCATACCAGACCATTTAGATCTGGTAGGAATTTTACAGAGGAACCCCACCCCCAAAAATGGGGAAAAAACACGAGGTGCCCCCCTTAAAATTCCCAATCCGACCCTTGATCCAAGCACAGGCCTGGCAGGGCAGGAAAGGGGGTGACGAGCGAGCGCCCCCCCC